CTCCGCCTCGCTCTTCCAGCCGGACCAGACGAAGTATCCTAGTCCTTCGAAAACGAAGAACGTTCCGTCGATGGCCCACTGGTCGTCAGGCAGGGCAAGCTTGGTCTCGGCCGAGTACTCCCCAAGAGGCGAGTCGGCACTGATCACGTACATGCGATGGGCAGCGTCTACTCCAGCAGAGAAGTGGATGTAGGTTCGGCCGAGATCAGTTGTGATCTCAGGTGCCCAGATAGCGCCCATGTTATTCGTGTCGGACCAGACTAGCTCGCGTCGAACATCAGACGCGCCAAGGCCTTCGAGCGAGGATGCAGCTCGAACATAGATGCCACCTGCAGATTCAGCCGAGTAGTAGGTATCCCCGATCTTCATTGCAGTTGGATCCGCGCCATCTCTGATCTTGACGGCTAAGGTACAATCGGCAAAGAGAAGAAAAGCGCAGAGCGCCAAAAGCACAGCGGCAGATTGCCGCTGGAATGAGATTGCAAGGAGGTTCAACATGATTAGGCGGTTTCGTGTTGCTGATGTCCAGTATACTACTTTCTCATTATCTTAGTTGCACAGGGCGTTTCTTTATACCAAATTGTCATTCGGTCCGCCTAGCATACCCCCTGGATTTCACTTGATCTCTCGAGGAACTCCATTCGCTGATACCACCGACCCGTTGCTCCTTCTCGGAGTACAGATCCTGAATAACGTCACCACATACACTTGCAGTCGATAGGCGGCCGACAAGGCATCTTGGCATAAGCACAGCAGCGTGGGCTGGCTGCGCCTTCATTGGCGAGAAGGGCAAGTTTTAGGTGATTCCCGTACATTGCATGTTTAGAAAACCACTGTCATGCGAAGGAATTTCCAAATCACGAGAGAGAAATAGACGTCATTGTCTTGACTAAGAGGTCTTATTCGATGTCGGCAAATGTGATGGGGGCTCAGAAGCTGAACGCCATGTGATCCTCCAATGGTGGCGATGATGCTGCAAGTCACATCCGCAATTGTCAGCCCGCAGCCATAGCGTGTTTTCGCAGCCACTCCCGCGGCGTTTGACAACTAGCAGCTTAGTCTTGACGCAGGACGAGAAATATCAGCCAATGTTGTTGGAATGCAATACTTGGCTCTGAACACCCTAGGGAGAGAGGGTGTTGTGGCCGGCAAGCAAGGTACGGCCACGTCTTACTCAGCCCTGTGGACGAGGAGGGCTTTTGAGGAGACTTACTGCATCAGGCAGCTTCGTAAGGAGGACATCGCGGCTCTTCGAGTGCCGAGCCTCGGGCGTTACGCTGGTTTGGCGGTTTATGTGACTAATAATTTTGGTAGAGACAAGTCTAAGTGCCTAACATCGCGAAATCATCCCTTTCGAGTGTCAAGTTTCGGTTGCGCATTAGCACTGGTCGTCTCGGACTTTTTAGGAGTGGGAATGTCGATCTTTATCCCTAAATGACGCCCAATAGGCAATTCGCCTCACCGGGACCTCCCGCCAGCCTCACCCGCGAGTTTTGTTCCCATGTGCCTTGGCGTCAACCTAAGAAAATCGTCTCACTTGATACGGGCTGCGGCTGGTAAGCTCGGACTCATATTTCTGCTCTTGTCTTCAACATCAAATGATTGTGGTACCTGAACGCACAGAATACTACTCCTAGACGAGGCCTTTGCCTACATGTACTTCTATGGCCGGCTAAAGGCGTAGTGTCCGGATACTAGTCCATTCAATTGGTGCACATCTGTAGTTTGGAAACGAGAGCATTAAACTGACCCCAATCGTTCCTAATACCACATTGCATGGGAATGGTGAAGGAACTCGTTGTTGAGTACTTGTTGCGATGTCTTCAAATAAGCGAAGCTGTGCCTCTTTGGGGCGCAAAAGTGGAACTTGAAGGATTGCTCCCTCGTGAGACAATGAGGAGGTGGTAAGACAGTGCCAACTCGCGCCACCTCGTCAAGTGCATGAATATTCCAGTAAAACTCCACTAATCTATAAACCGACGATAGGTACTAGCGATTTGCTCTCTGCGGAATCCCAGAAAGCAACCTTGTTGCGCAGTGTTGCGGAAGACCAATAAGGGGCAGGTGTTCTTGTTATTCCCGGCTTGTCACTCACAGAGCTTGGAAGTGGGTGATTACAAGCCCTAATACTTCATGTTAGGAAAATGTCTACTAAGAAGAGTTACTGGACTCCACAGGGGCTGAAATAACGTGGATTTAAGCTGCGCCGGGTCGGAGCCTAAGTCCTGCTCCACGACCTTCGGATATCTCGGCTCCAGAGTTCGGATTCACTTTTCGTTGATCAGCCATGGACCCATATGCCAAATGAGTGGGCTGCGGCGGTTTGCTGTAGGATGAGTGTGAACGATTGCGGATGTTGTCATGCTGATCCCTAATGTTGTCACTTTTCATACCCACAATTGTTACTTCTGTCCCTTTCTTTAATTCCAACAGCCAGTATGCATGGCATAGTGGTAGAAATACTGAAAGGAACTTGAAAACGCCAGTTGGTGAAACTCGAAACAATCCTTCGAATAGCCTGTCTTACCATTTACTTTGCGAAAGCGCTCATCAAGCTCGGGCGAAAGGTCCACCGATCAGCATGAGAAGATCGTCACGTAACCCCCATACGACTGAGACTAAACATTCCCACAAGCTTCATCCAATGACGAGTTGAGGCTATGCCCCGGTGAATGAGGAACCGAACGGGCCAATAGGGATTACTTGTGCGCGCTTCCATACCGTTGGGTAGTTGAGATACACGGAATAGTATCAGATGATGAAGGGGGAGCTTGTAAGGTGACACGAAGTAGACTAGCCAGGCAAGAAGGCAATGGGGGAGATTACTTGCGAAGGTGTTACCGGGAAACGTTCTCAATAATAAATAAGGCGGAATGTGCGAGGACAAAAAGTATAAGAAGGTGAAGAAGCCACTTGCAATTCTAACGTCCATCTCCAGCTCACTCACAACATCCACAAGATCATCCACAACACCGACATCACATTTCCTCTGCAACTATTCCCTATTCACAATCTATCCAACCCATCAAAATGCAGTTCTTCACCATTCCAGTTCTTGCCATCTTCGCCGCCGGCGCCATCGCCATGCCTAACGGCTGGGTCGAGACTCGTGATCTTGAAGCTCGTGTCGACTGCGGCCAGATTCTTCCTGCCTGCAACGGCGGCAAGGTTGTTGGACAGACCAACTGCCGCTGCAGTGGCCAAATCTCTGCCTGCGACCTCTGGACCTGCCCTGGCGGAGCCCCCAACGCCGTAAGTGTTCTACGTGTTTTGCATGATACTCACGAAACAATAACTAATCAATCATCTCGATGCACAGATGGTCTGTGGTCAGGAGGGTAGCGGATGTGTGTGGATCTAAGCTCTACTCGTATCAGTTTGGCGATGATAGCAGTATTCTCACAGTCAATGCCTGTCCCGAATATGTCTTAAGGACAGTGTCGGGAAATCTCAGGTGTCAGGTTACAGGAAGAAACCCTTCTTCTTCTTTTTTTTCAGGTTTCCACTTCTTCATGTTTGCATGGTTTGTACCTCATGCATTCGCACACAGTCGTTCCTTGAAAGTTTACAAATAAAATGCCGGGGCCCAGGCATGAATTGAAACAATAGCAATAAGACCTAGCCAATGTGAGATGTGACTCGTGGATATTATTGGCGAATCTCTTGGACTGGTGTTTGGATCTCCCAAGCTATTGTGTCTAGGTACATGCACGCTTGGTCAACCAGATATGTCAGCAGAAACTCCCGAAGACCTAGTTAACTAGCTAGTGTTTAGACTCAAAAAGTAACAAAACAGCCTCAGTTTATAAATCATGCAACCAAAATAGACAACTCTTGTTCATTATCGAAAGAACCTAGCAAGGCCTCTGCAACAATTGCTAAAACGAGAACTTAGATCAAGACAAGATCTTCTTCCGTAGCCCCATACTCGTCGAATGGTGTCGTAAAGCCCTCCTCTTCAATGTCGTCACTGAAGATGAAAACACCGATACGTCGCCAACGTACCAATTCCTGAGCATCCGTCGAGTCTACTGGTACTACCACGATGCCAGCGTACTGATAAGTAGGATTCCAAGAGTCCGGAATGTCCCCTTTTCGCTGTCGCTCCAGGCTGTACGCATGTTGTGTGGCAGACTGATCCGTGTAGAATGCTTGTTCTACAGTCAGTATCATGCAAGCATTTTGAGGGAGCTGGTCTTCTTCCTTGAGAAGAGGATCATCGTGTGCATATTTTAGGCACTTGGACCGAATCCATTGTTGACTTGCTTTCAGCCAGACATTCTTCATGCCCAACGCCCACTTGTAATCCCCCAACGGCAGCACATACAGTAGTTTCGGGGCGTCTCTCCACTCGAGCGTGCAGGGAATCCGCTTTGCTCTGATTGTCAAAGTCATGCCAGAAAATTTGTACAGTAGCGAGTCGACATTCGCCGAGCCGTCGGGATGATAGTATGAGACCGTCTTCGCGTTGTATATCGAGAAATGTCGGTATGTCTGCATCGTTGTTCGGAAGGGAAAATCAAGAATATCGTTTCCGAGAGCCGTTTTGTATGTTGGGACAGAGAACCAGGACCAACTTGGCGCTGACTCTGACTCCTTTCTGATCCTTTCATAGTCTATAACGTTGACTGGGACAGGGCTCACAGACCATAGCAGGTCATACTCAAGAAACTCCTTCCAGAGACCAGCCAGGTATGTGACGTTAGCCTTGGCTTGGATCGCGCGAGCAATGCCAGCAAAAGCGATCCCACGGTCTGTCTCTTTCGTGAGGTCTCCTGCGCGATAGTCTCGAATCAGGAAAGCCCATTGCATTTCGCCGGTGGTAGTATCTGTTTCACCAATGGTGGCTTCCGAACTGCCAGTTTGGCGTTGAAGCTCTCGACCGCCTCTCAAGAAATCGGTCAGACGGGTGATTATGCGATAGAAATGCGCTTTTGACCCAGAAAGTGTCGCCAGGGGCCCGTAGAATTCGTCCTCAATCCCATTGCAACACTCCCAAATCAGTCGATCTTGGCCGTAATATACTGTCCGGGGACAAAGAAGTCGTTCTTGGAAAACCCATCCTCTCGAAAGGAGTGGCCACACGGACTTGTAGTGTGTTGGTAGCCAAGCAGGTCGTATGTATCCAGGCGTATGCTGGATCACTAGATCTTCAGGCGCTTTGGAGGTCGCCAGCCCAGACTTACAGGGTAGACGGGTATGATAAGGCAAATGTACCCTGGGATCCCGCAGATGATTGTTTGACGACTCTGATGCAGGGGGGAAGGTGTAGGAAATATTGCAGCTGGATCGCCCGTACACTGCCGCCATCTTGACGGCTTCTCTTTGCCAGTCTTCCTTTGAGTCTTGGATGATGCAGAGAGAGTCTATCCGAATGTATTGGAACCCCAAGGCCCGTGTGACTTCAATGGCATCAACATATTTCTTAGGTAGATCGTGCATGGAAATACTCAGCATGAACGAATCGATGGTCGACACCAGCAACTGTGGGCACAAAGAGGGATCGGGTCCCCACATGTGACTGAGAGTTGTGTATTCCAGCCCAGGTGTCGTGACTCCGACATCACATTCAAGACGCACGTTTTCTCCACTGACGTTTAGTAACCTTGAGGGTGCCTGATTTGTCGGGGAAACAACGCTCGGAAATTGGCGACATGCAGAATGGTGCTCAGTACAACCTATTTGCCACTTCTTGATCGCTTCAAAATTGACGTTATTGCGCGAAGAGAGCGAAACTGAGTTATGGCGAAGGGAGTCGATGTTCAAGTCTGGACCTAAGGATGTCGTCAGCGGCTGACCATTCGAGTTGTGACACTTAGACGATATACTCACTCGCACGTCGATGAATGTATAAATAACTGGCTATTTCGCTGCCCAAGGCTGTAGTCTTCAATTTGATGTAGCCCTTGTCTGGCCTAAAGGTGGTCAGAAACGAATGTAAACCGGTCGAAAGGGCGACTAACAAGTAAGGCAGGGGGGCCACTGCCCACCAAGCTTTCTTTTTCCAGTCCGTTCCCTTTTGGACCTCAATAGCATACTCCTTCTCATCATCGCGGGCCTCGAGTATCACTGCTACTGGAGTGCTGTAATCCATGGATCTTGCTGATCTTGCCGGATCCAACAAATGTGCTGCAACGCGGTCCCACAAAAGTGCACATAGATGGCAACCGCTCGAGTAACCGGCTTTCAATTCTAAAGGCGTTCCAACATGGGCAATCTCAGAGGCAAGGATCCTGATGCGGCCCCGCCGAGCGAGAGTCCGAAGAAGGGGACTTGTGGTGGTAAACTTGGCGCAGGGGCTACATAGCTGATGCAGGTGAATGACGGCGTCCTCTTCAGCAGAGTGCTCATATCGAAGCCCGGGCGCAAGCTTGAACTCACTGGCCGTGCCAGTCCTTGGAGAATTCATGCTGGCAACGGAAGTGATTTCAACTTGAAAGAGTTCTGCGGATGATCAAAAGGCTGCACCGCGTGGCTTTGGTATTCCAGCGTCAGGCTCCCTTCCCGGCCAGTCAGAACCAAGAGTTTGTCACTCTGTGTCCCCAGATGGCTGAGACCATGTGATGTGATGCACTTGCCCCGGCCTTCGCCTAAAATCACTAGTGCTTACGACAAGGGAAGGAAATACGTTTGCCCTTTTTCGCCAATCGTATTCTCACGACCAATCGATTGGATACAAAAGATCTTTCCGTAGCGAGTCTAGGCGCAATAGCTCCCGTTTGTTGCCCGTAGGATCATGGTCCATAAAACCGGCGCTCCACCCGGCTCAGGATCCACAGTCCGTGTCCGTATTCATATCCTTTTAATATCCAGAGAGACGCGCTTATATGCGACTAAGCTTTAAGCTATCTATAGATATTTATATAGGTATATACCTATATAGTCTATAGGTATAGAGGGGTACTTAAGTAAGTACTAAGTAAGTATAAGTAATAAATAAAACTTTCTTATTTAAGTATTAAGTATATAAATAAAGTAAAAACTATAATTTAGGTTCTAAGTAATAGTTTATTTTATAAATATAATATATTAAGAGAGGTTTAAAGAGGAGTTAAAATCTAAATTAAAATATTAAAACTATATAGGAAATAAATTATATTATTATAATATATTATTAATTTCTAATAATAAGAAATTACTATAATTTATTTTTTCTATAGTTTTTTAATTACTTAATTATTCTTTTATTCTCTAACTACTTCTCTAATTTAATAATAATAAAGAGTTTTTAAAAGTTTATAAACTTTATTATAATACTTATAAATTAAATAATAATATCTAAGAAATTTAATTTAATTTATTTATAAAGTTTAAGATTTAGCTAAATAGTTTTATAAGTTTTATATCTAAAAACTTTAATTCTATTAAGTTTTAAATATTATTATTATTACTTAAAATATTAATAATATTTTAAGTATACTTAATAATAAGTTTATAAATAATAAAATAAGAATCTTTAATATTAAGAACTTTATATTAGAATATTTAATAGATTAATATATTTTAGTTTTTATTTAGTTTATAAAGTATAAAGTCTTCTAAAATAAAAAACTTTAAATAAGAGAATAAAAGCTAATCTTAATACTTATTATAAATTATAAAAAGAAATTAATAGAAAATTATCTTAGGTTTTATATTAAAATATATATAGTAATAGATATATTAGCTAAAACTAAATACTTATTTAAAGAGAATAAAACTTAGAATAATATAAAAATAGTTATAAACTATATTATAGAAACTATAATACTTTATCTCTTATTTTAATATTTTCTAGAAATCTTAGATTAATTACTTAATAGAATAACTTTATATAGATTTAGTTATATTTTTAGAAAGAAAAGTAATATAATACTTATACTTCTTTAAGAAATTATAAATAATATTATTTACTTTTTAAAATAAAATATTTATTTACTTCTAAAGAACTATATTAATATAATAATTATAAAAGGATTATTATATTAATTATTATAATAAATTATTATAAATATAATTATTATAATAATATTAGAAGTATAATAATATATCTATTTCTTAAAGCTTTAAAGTATTAAAACTATTAAATTATAGATAGATCTATAAGCTTTATCTAAATTAGTTTTAGAATTTTATAAAACCTCTTTATAATATTTCTTAGTATAGATTTAAATAAACTTTATTTTAGCTATATTTTTTAATAAGCTAAAATAAGCTTTATAAATACTATAAAATCTTAGATTATTATTTATTAAATTTAGTATTAATATAGGAGAGAGAAATAAAGAGGATATATAAAGAAACTACTACTACTCTTATAGTAATTAGTACTTCTTTAGTTTTATTATTATTACTTATATTATTTCTAAAAAAACTAGTACTTAGAGTAAATTCTTATTATTATTAAACTTTTTAATAGTTTCTAAATATTTTATTAAATAATTATTATAGATTTTTATAAAAGTAATTATATAAGTAATATTAATAGATTAGTCTTAATTTAAAATATATATAATAATAAGGAAGTATATAGAGATATTAAAAATAACTTAAATTTAATACTATTTAGGATTATTTAGCTTAAATAAGTAATTATTAATATAATTTATAAATTAAGCTTAAATTAGAGCTTAAAGTTTAAAAGTATAAATTAATATTAATATAGTTAAATTTTAATATATCTTTATATTAATAATTAGACGTTTAGAATACTTTTTAAGGTTTTTATCTTTATTATTTTTCTAAAAGTCTAAGAACTATATAAATTATATTAAACTAACTTTAATCTTAAGTATAAAGTAGTAAATCTAAAAGAAAATAAGTAATAATAAGAGTAAAAAGTAAGAAATAGAGTAGCTTACTTTAGTAATTACTACTATAAGTATTAAAATACCTCTTACTCTAATTTAGCTTTTTAAGTTTAATATCCTATTTAAATATTAATTAATAGGAGTTTTATTATTTAACTAATCTTTAAGATTATTATTCTATAAAGTAGAAGTAGTTTACTATTTTATTAAGGTTTATTATAGTAGTATAATATCCTTAGTAACTTATTTATTATTAGTATATAATATATATTATATAAGATTACTTATTATAAGTATATAAATAACTTTAAAGTAGTTATATAGTTCTTAAACTATAAAGTTAATAATATAAATAAAGTATTAAATATAAATAACTATTAGTAATACTTTATTAAATATAAACTTATAAAACTTAAATAAGATCTTAAGTTTAAAATTAGAAGTATTATCTATAGAAATATAGTTAAATTTAAGTATATTCTTTATTAGGAGTTTCTAGAGAGTATTAATAATTATACTAATTATATTCTCTATAGTATAGTTTTTTATAATACTAAGTATACTAAGAAGAATATAATAATATTTTTAGTTTTTATTTATAAAATAAACTATAATACTAAGTAATATATACTTCTAACTTAGTATTATCTATATATTAATTATTAGAGATATTTTTAAACTAAGAATAATCTTATTAAGAACTTTTATTTAGATAGTTAAAGCTTTAGCTTTAAGATTCTTAGCTATTATTATAGAGGATAATAATATTTATCTTTAGTTTATAAAGCTAATAAAGAACTTAAAAATTAACTTTAAAATAAAGTTAAAAGATATATTACTATTAATAAGATAATAGAGAAGTATTTTATTTAATTAAGTAGATTTATCTCCTTTTTTAATAAGTTAAATAATAAGGTATAATTATTATAATAATTATTATAATAATTATTATAATAATTATTATAATAATTAATATAAATAACTTAGATAGTTCTTATAGTTTATAGATAAATTATCTCTCTATTATATTATAATTTAAAAGATACTAAAGTATTATACTACGTTTTAATATATACTAGCTTACTATAATAGTTATTTATTAAGTTAGTCTTAAAGCTAGCTATATTAAGATAAATAAGGAGAGTATTATATATATTATAGATAAGATAGAGAATATTATATTAGACTTTTACTCTTTTATAAAAGTTAGCTTAAGTATTTACTTATTTATAACTTTTACTAAAGATTTTATCTACTTTCTTTAGGTATATATTAAAGTTAAATAAAAACTAAAAGTTCTTAATACTATCTTCTACTTTCTATTTATAATATTAAGTTTAATATTATTATTTAATAAAAATAATATCTATAATAAATAGAATAACTAAGCTATTATAAATAAGCTTATATTTAGAGGGGGGGTTTATAGAGAAAAGAGAGGATATATCCTTAAGAAAGTTATTTATAGTATATAAGTTTATAGTATATTTTATTTATATAGATAAAGTAGTAAAAAGAAAGAGAAACTAAATTATAAAAAATTATTATAATAAATTATTATAAATATAAAGTATTATAATATTTAATAATAAGTCTAAGTAATTATTAGTTTACTTATATATATAATTAAGCTATAAGTATTTATTATAGTAATAATAGAATATATATTTTCTTAATTCTCTAATAAGTTTTAAAAATAATAATATTACTTTAACTATTAGAAAGTATTTTATTAATACTAGCTTTATTAAGTTAGTATTTAAGAGATAGTGAGATTTTTAAAACCCCTATATATTTATAAATAGAGTTATAATAGTAATCCTCTAGCTTAAATATAATAAAAGAGGTTATTAATAAACTTAAATTATTACCCCTCTTAGTAATAAAAACTACTATAAAAAATAGGAATAATATATTATTATAGTTAATAAAGAGAGATATAAAGAAGAAACTTATAAGTAATATTTTAGTTCTATTAAGAAAATAAAAAATATAAAAAGTACTATAAAAAGATATTATTATTAGTAAAAAGTAATTATATTAATATTATCTAAGTAATAAGTTTTAAGAAACTTATAAAGAGAAAATATATTAATAAGAGTAATATAAATATTTTAAGAAATTAAAAAGTAATAGAAGATAATAAATAATACTATATAGAAGTAATTATTTATAAAGCTTATAAGAGAGATATTATAATTTATATATTTAGATCTATAATTTTAGTTAGAAGTAATAAAAATATTATAGATAGTTATTAAATTATATCTTATTACTATATTTAAAAGTATATATTAATCTTTAGATATAAAAGTTTCTATTAATATAAATAAATATAAATCTTTATACTATTTATATAAAATATATTATACTTTAAAAGAAAGATATAGATTTAGTTAAGTAACTTATTAGATATATAGGTTTCTAAGAAACTTAGATATAGACTTAAGAGTTAAAAGTTTATACTTATTATCTTAATATATATAATTATAATATATAATTATAGTAGATAATTTTTATAGATTTCTATATTAAGGATTATAATAGATTATTATAATAGATTATTATAATAAATTATTATAATAGATTATTATAATAGATTATTATAATAGATTATTAT